TAAAGGTGGTTACATTAGGAGACTGTAGTTTTCAGGAATTAATAATATACGGAGTTATCTGCTTTATTACCTCCTGAACTAAAGTAAATGTCGAGGCTTCTTATAGATGACACATCAAAATGTGCCATTGTTATCAATCTCAATAAGGAGCTTCACAACATTAAGATCTTATTCGCCTGATAGCCAGTTTTACAGTCATACCATTATTCAAATCTCCATGCATGTAAGGACACCACTAGTCGTTTATTTTATTCTTTCCTTCATACTACTTGCGGATTTAATGCACACCGAACGAATTTATTTGTTGAAAGAGTGTTTCAAGTTTGTTACTTTGATTTACCTATAAAACCTGCGCCTCCTACTTATCCACAAACAAAATCTGGGGTTCAACTTACAGATAGCTTTCGGTATATAAATCTTTACGCACAGCTGCCTTATGTTACAGTTTGACGAGTTAGTCAAGAAGTTTGACCGTATTATTGGAAAGTGGTTTCGTAAATCTGTAGAATTATGGTCTACTATGATATTAGTACTGCTCTAATAATAGACCTAATCCTAAATTTGTAGATTTGTCATGATATAACTGCCTAATCTATAAGATCTTACGTGGAAGTCACACCATCGACTACACCAACTCACTGTATCATATCAATTACCAATACATGATGTAGAACAAGGTTAGGTTAGAGAAGGAACAATATATTTAATATGAATAGAAGATATAACGTAACATTCAGATGGACCACGCCTGCATGGCCGAGCCATGCCATCCGATCAACTCCAATCCATTCAATCCATTCTCCGCGCCTTCTCCATTGTTAGGTATTTCCCCAAGTTAAATATTGAATATCTATTTTCTGAGTAGTCTCGTGTTCACAGCTTTGTGGATTGTGTGGCTATTGTCCAATGCCACTACAAATCTCACAGATAAATGGTTCTGGATGATGCCAATAGATGATAAACCAGCCACAGTAATCTGTTATGGGGTAGTTAAATCACACTGTTTGGACTGACAAATGATATTTAAACTTTTTCAGCTTCATGAACTATCTGCTGCACAATCCTGAATTTTCTTAACCGTAAGTTGATAATTGCGCCAGTGTGAGTACTTAAACGAGTATCATCACAATATGAACTTAAAAGAATCATGAACTGGTGACTTCACATGTTAAGTATAAAATATTTTATTCTAAACTGCAATCTATTATAGGAGATCACGTGAAACTGAGTTTGTTCACAACTAATTCAATTAAGTCATTTTATTAACTTATTAACGAACTGAGTCATCCGTACAACTACTTACCTAACTCATTGTATCTTTATTACTTTTGCGAATGTATGAAAATGTACGCTTGAATATTGCTTACGGCCCACGCATTTATTCACTCTGCTAGTCTTACTACTAACCACTTATTTGATTCGATGACTCCTTCACTTCACTATATATATATATATATATATATATATATGTCCATGTTATCCATATTGATCGCTTGCTCTGCTTTCTCGTTCGCTTGATTGTACTCGATTACTTATATTCGCTCATTCGCTCGCTTGCCTGTTTGCCTCTCGGCACAACTCTTAATGCTCGTTTAATGCATCTGTAATTTTGGACATCTGTGTGTGGTCTCACAATAAACGTAATCAACGCTTCGTATTCGCCTTCTGATTAATATACCGTTGGGGCGTTATCTAGTGACGGTTATAAAGACGAACTGTATACGAAGTTTAAATAATATATCGAATACCGACCACCACAGAATTGGCGATCCCGATGCGCGAGCACGAAACAATCTTCGATGACATAATCCAATTCCGAAAATCCAACGTACTCAATTTCAATTTAAACTAGCATTTGGATTATAATTATAACTGTAGATTTATTATCTCATTATTTTAATTATACGTACATTATCTCACAAACATTATTGAATATAACAATAATATTCACACTAAACGACGATATTTTACAAACAATTGATATTTTGGTGCAATTTAATAGGTCCGTTCTTTGTTATAAATTGTACCATTTATTATTATCATTGTTTTTATCGATTCACTTTTCTCTGTGACATTCATATTATATTCGTGTACTTTTTGATCTTTACAAATGTCTTTAAGTAACGACACAATAGAACTTTCACAAACGCCGTCCGTGAGGTCCATTAATGTAACTATTCCCCCTTTTAAGGTCTCAGACCCTCAACTTTGGTTTATCAGACTTGAACATTACTTTCTAGCTAATCGTGTTCATACACAGCGAAATAAATTTGGCCACGCGAGCTCATTACTTCCAGATAAAGTACCAGACAACGTACGAGAGGTTTTAACTAAGCCAGATATAGAAAAGCCATACGACACACTAAAGCAGGCAGTGATTAAAGCTGTCTCATTAAGCGACCGGCAAGCCGTCGAACAGCTTCTCAGTCAAGTGCAGATAGTAGACAGGACTCCATCGCAGTTAAAAAACTATATGAGAAGCATAATCGGAGATAGAAAAGTAGATAAAAACGTATTTTATCAGTTGTGGTTACGACGACTTCCAGCGAACGTGCAGCAGATCCTTGCAGTTGAGGACAGAGATGTCGACATAGACAACATTGCTAAAATAGCCGATAGGATTTATGAGAGAATGAAACAAACGGGTCCTCAAAGACATAGTACCACTGTAGATGAACGAATCAAGGCATTACGAAAGGGAAGATTCAAACAACCAATGCAAAAATGATATAAATCTTCTCATTACATAGGCTAGTGACTTTCAGGATTTAGTAGGTAAGTGGATAAGTCGATGGCGTTTGAAGCGAATGGTACTGGGTCTCAGAGTGAACATAAATTTTGGGATGCAAGTACATCTAACTGACCAGTCCAAAACAGGGCGAAACGCGAGTTCTGGACTCTAATGCTAGCCACAATTCATCATTGCTTATAATGCTTGTCTTACATTTAAATGAAAACCTTGTTAGATTTTCATTAGAATGGCTAATGTAAGAAAATATATGAATAGGTCTTCGTAAACACTCTACAAGCTTAAATACTAGTATATTAAACCAAGCACCAGTTCGATTTTGACACTTATACGTATGCTACCTATAAGCAATCCTAACCCGTTAGTTGGGTGAGAAGACAGAATAAGAAGCTGTATCGGCAATCGAGTCAAAGATACAAAGTAACGCAATAATATATCTGTATGTCCAGTGGATAATTGAGCCAAATCTCAGACAGAAGTGTTCATCCATGGACAACACTCATCTAACATTTGACTATTCCCTAGATTGTGAGCACAGTGATCTGATCTGACCCAGATGATCCCCTCTTTAACCTGGAAATCTGGTCTTTACAACTTGTTGAATAATAAGCACTGGCAAATATAATCTATTTTGTCTTTTTTATTGCTATAAACTATATTCAACTACCATATAAATCAGTATTCCTTTTGGAGTCTATATGCAAAGATTGAGGTAAGGGATATGTTAAGTTCTGATAAAGCACATTTATAATAATGTAACTAGTAAAGTGTATTTCACTTCAGAAGTTAATGAACAATTTTTCAAGGGAAAATAATAAAGTCGTGTGCATTCTAAATTCTTAAAGTAAATAAATATTAGGAGTATTTCATTAATATAATCTAAAACTATGGTAACTTGTTGAACAACAAAGAGATCGTTAAGTCATTAATCTTCAGTTTAAAACTATCCAGAAATGCTACATATTGAAGATGAGTGAAATATCAAAGATTCATTATTAGTTAGATATTCCCTTGTAATTTAATGAAACTTCATTTCGGTAAAATCATTCAATGAATTGTTCGCTTTCAATGTACATGTTCATGAAGATATTTATAAGAGATCCCACCTTTTGTAAAAAGCTCCTAGTAGCAACTATTACTACTGATATCTATGGTAATATCTAATATATTTTTTAGTAGATTATCTACTTGGTAATTCACACTCAACTTTATTGTTTGACCTAATTTAGTTGTATAGAATTCAATACCTGAGATTGTTATCATTAACTTGAAAGTCAAATAATTAACGAGTAATATTTAGGATAAACTCATACATGACTATATGCTACCAATGGTATAGCTACACTTTTGAAGTTATTTGACTTGAATGTTGATTTATTTTGAGTATAGAATTCAGTAGTATATGATGAGGGAATTATATGTTATGTTGAACTTGTGTCTTGTTGGGGACGTTAGATCCCCAGAACTCACTTGGGAAAGGACCTAATATTGTAATTTTATTCTGAAAATTTGAATTTCTTTGTTTTCGCGCCAAAAGCGCTGTTTTCACCTTCATGTTGTATTTCCCATTGGGAAATATCTTAAATGCTATTGGTCCGTTGCGTCTTTTACTATGCTATTTGGTAACTCTCCCCAAGGATGGTTTGGTGCTGTATATATACGTTTTGATGTGCGTTTGTTGTTATCGCTCGTTTCTGGCTGTTTGCAGAATATACTTCCCCATTCCGAGCTTGGACTTCTTTCCCTAGTTAGCGGGGGCTGGGACGCATCAATAGCTAGCTTACTGGTCTTTGGTCATCAAGTCTTTGTTCTCGTTCGCAGATTATGTGAATTCGTGATAGCTTCAACCCTAGTATGTCTAAATAAACTGACAACTGATGAAAGTTTGTTTTCTTTTTCACTTATATAGAATGACAGATACATTTTAACTACATCATTGCTTAATCATAAATGATTTCATTCAAATATTGAGATGTGTATATACAAGCATCTACGCTATAAAGACAATCTGAAGTTAGTCACATACACCAGGATCTACATTCTCTACTTCACCGTCGATTTTATAGTCAATGTAATATCGTTACTACTTTTTTTAAATACTTTAACACTAATCCATAGCTATAGTTGAATACATCTAAGTTACTAAGGTTTCAAGTCATTTATATTAAATCATCTCTTAAAAAAGACTTACACTCGTAATCGATTACTGGAAATCAGTTATTGTTTTAGAAAAGAACAAAAATGTTGTCTCTCTTTCAATAATGTTTATATTTTCATTTAAAACATACAACATGGTTAATACACAGAACAGTGACATATTAAATGTTTTGGGTAACTTTTACTTTTCACTGAATACAAATACATGTTTTTGTTATTATTCCTTGTAGCATATTTGAATTGGCAAATCCACTCCATGAACTGATAAGTGTAGGCCAGTTTGGTTTTGGTATTTGTTTTGATATGTCTGGTTTACGAGTTGGTATGGTTTCAGGACGTTTAGTAGTAATTGGACGTCTGGTAGTTTCAGGACGTCTAGTAGTTCTAGGACGTTTAGTAGTAACTGGACGTCTAGTAGTTTCAGGACGTCTAGTAGTTCTAGGACGTCTAGTAGTTACAGCATAACATTCATCTTGTGATTTTGCTTCGTAAGGATAACGACCTTCATAGTTTCCTCTAAAATACAAAATAATATACAATGGAATGTATCAATTGAATTTTTCCTTTTAAAATTTAATGAATAGAAACATCTTCATATTACTATTATAATACTTAGTAGAATAAAATTATAGTACAATAATTAGTATTAATTATTAATATTTATTTACCCTGGGCCATAATTACAGACAACTGATAATCCATATGGAAATCCATAATTTCCAGTACAATTTGTAATACCACAACCAACATGAGTAGTATTTTGCCATACTAACTAAAATAAATTTTAAAAATTTTGAACTGATAATTTAAAGATAAGTTATTTATATAGACAATTATATATAAGTATCAGAAGAGGTTTTGTGGAGATTGTAGTAATTCCATTAATTAAGATAATGAATCAATCGATGCTGAACCACTATGAAAAATTTGAAAGCACTGGACGGTGGTTTCGTTCTATTGTAGGACTCCTCATCAGTGCGTATCCACGACTCCACCTCGCGGGGTGGAGTTCATCTGGGTCAGTTGTGAGATAGTAACTCACTGATGACAATGATGGATGTGTCACTCATTTTCGTGGATTAGTTGAAGTTAGACATTAACACCAATAGATGTCGACCCAGTGGTCTGGAGGTTAAGCACTTGCACATGAGACTGATAGGTCCTGAGTTGGAATCTCGTGAGATGGGATAGTAGATGCGAACTGCCAAGGAGGATTCCCACAATAGGACGAAACGACCGTCCAGTGTTTCCAGGTTTTTCCATGCTGTTCTAGCTTCAATTGACTCATGATCCCAACTATTGAAATTACATATAACTTATTTGAAATGTTAAATAAAGAATAGCCAGTGAGAAAATAAAATTTGATATTGACAACAAATATATTTATCATTGACGATGTCCCAACTCGTGTTAATGTAACTTTTGATAAAAAAAATTAAATATATGGATAGATGTAACATTAAACATCTGTCTTTAATAATAATAAGAATAAGAATAATAAGGAAAACTTCAGCTGTATCTATTTAAGATCTAACTAGAACTGAGACAATGTCATTAGCATGATCACTATAATACTAATCATTTACTTCATTAATTTCAATGAATAAATGAATTAGATTTTAAGTGTAGTAAGACTCAAACTGTTTTACAAGTAATAACTATATATAGTATGGTATCAGTCAGTCAGTCAGTAACATCATAGAAATTCGTACGTACGTACATCAGTTCGAGTTGCCATATCACATTAGCACACACATACAATTGTCGATTCAAATCCCATAGTGGTAGAGGTAGTAAGAGTATAAGCAGTAATAGGAAAGACTAGGGTTTGAAGATGTTATTTAAAGAGTATAATACAGTGAAATAAATTTGGAAAGAAAATAAGGGACATGAAGAATTCTGGAGATTAGAATTTGGGAGAACACAAAGAGTGGATGCACCTGCACCAGTGCAAACGATTTTGAGCCATGTCATTCAGGGTCTCTAATAATCAGTTGCTATTATCTCGCGGTCCCCAACCAGGTAGTCTACACCTACAAATATGACTCAGTCTACTTGTCAGTGACTTCATGGATTTGTGCCATGTTTTGGTCTGGCCGCCCCTAGTTTTCTTCCAACCTACTCCTATAACATTGAACATAGCATAGTATAGTATAGTGGTTAATTAATATTACAGCAATCTCATTAGCACTTTACTAAAGTAAATATAAAGTTATTTCATAATGAAAATACCAAGTAAAATGTATTACGTCATCATGAATTCTAATTTATTTGTAATAATTTACTTGAGTATAATGTCCACAAACACCGTAGCAACTCATTGAATAATAACTATACTGTTTATATTCATCTTTCCATGCATCGAATGCTCTAAAATAAGATTAAGAGGAATTAAGAAAAGAATAGTAATAATGATAATGTTAGTTACTGTTCAATTGTTTGATATCCTGCTATATTTTGACCAACATATTCCCATTTATGCGGTAAATTCACATCATTATGATGAAAATAACATTCATTTGCTAAATCTTTAGCTTTTGAAGCTAGTTCATCATCCCATTTCTATTTTATATGTAACATATAATAGATGATGTAATATAAACTTACAAGATCTGGCAGATATTTCGCTGGAGGTTGTCCTTCAAATTTACATTCTGTTAAATTACGTCTAAGATCATTATGATATTGTAGAAGTTTTTGAAGTTGTGGATCATTTGGTTGTGAGAAGACAATGTTTACTTTTATATAAATTACTAAGAAGAAGAAGAAGATACATAAAATCTGTTTATTATTCATTTTATCTCTGAAAGATTTGGGTAACAGACAATTTATAGAATCTTTTAGAGATAAAAAAATAAAACAAAAAAACCCCACAACAACCGTACTGTTATGATGTGATTTGGCACATCATGCATTTTCATTTCAGCCTATGTATATGAAATGACAGTTTTCTTTCTATTAAAATGATTGTTTGTTAACTATAAGTAGAATAATTTATGTAGCGTTTTAGATTGTGGTTTTTTTGTGCAATCCATGTTCAAATCAATCATGTGGTTCTTTCAACGTAAAGTTTTTATCGTTTTAATTGAATTATTTTGTTTATTCATATAATTGTATAACTTATTTATTTACACTTGTTACTCCTCGTCAAGGAGCATAAACGGCCGACCATTATTCTCCATCCAACATTAAACTGGGAAATCTTTTCCAGTTGGTTGCAACTGTTATTTAGCTTTCTGATGTCTGCTATGGTGGCGTAGAGAGATGAGATGGTGGTTGGAGGTAGTCATCAGGAACCCCTGGACCCAGGTCTTGTGCTACTTGTAATCTTGAAGGAACTGGTTCGATCCCGTGTTACCCACCTTCACAGTCAGAGACCTTACCACTGAGCTATTCGGGCAGTGACCGACTTCCTGTAGGACTGAGATGTAATTACAATTGAGTGATCACTGGGTGGTGATCAATGTCGTGTGTGTCAAGTCCTGGGTTCAGGGTTTTACTGTTGACTACCTTCAACCACCATCTTATACCAACATAGTACACGCAGTCTCGAGTCACCTAGACTAGTGGCAACATTGCAACTTGATCGACGGCTTTCGATCTGCACTGACAAGGACTTGACACACATTACATTGATCACCATTCAGTGACCAATCAATTGTGGTGGTGGCCCAAAATTTCACTCTAGGTAGATCATTTGCTGCTTGTTATCAAGTTATCGAAATATACATTTCACCATTCCTTACAAATAATTATTGACTTAACTCGGCATAGTCTGCCTTTTGATTGTCCTCTTATTTGTTTCCCTTCAGGATTCCAAGTTATCGCTTGACTCTTGAAGCAGCTAATGGATTTCCTCAATTTACGACGTATTTTCCTAATTTCCTTTTCAGTTGCCACCTGGTATTTTTAAAAGTTCAGATCTCATCTTTTAAAACAGTTTCCACCAACTGGATATTTGTTTTTTTTCCGTTTCTTTAACCTAGTCAATAACATTATCATAGCCTCTACAAATATTATCACTGAAAGAAGATCAGACTAGTTTTCAGCTCCATATGGATGAAGACTTGAGGCAATCTAAGAATCAATGATACTCTATCCATATTAGTTTTACTTGTTTATTTTCACCTCATTGACTGATTTTATTTACAAAACCATTGGAACTCAACATGCACTACTTACCATTTTCGTTTCAATATGGGTACTGACTTCCGTTAATTTGCGATATTGTATTCATCCTGTCTCAAATATATTTTGTCAGTAAATCTCTAAGATAATTCGAAATTATTTCCACATGGGTAATTTATTCAAAGTATCAGTCATTTATTATAGTTACAGCATAGCTAAATATCCTATGTATCCACAGTCTCATTGTTTTTAACACAAATAATATGGACAAGTGCATGACACATTGATACATTCAATAATTTTATTAAACCTTATCGTTAATCCTTTCAATCAGTCAGCTACAACGTAGGACCAGGCACATATGTGCATCGGTCCAAGTTGCCACACATCATTAACACAACAAGATGAACACCGGATTCATAAGAGTAGTTAATTCTGTGGTGGTAATATATAAAAGAAAGATTGAATATAAGGATGTAATACAGGAAGAAGGAATTAGTTCGTAGAAAGAAAGATATGAAGCGATTTTAATCTCTTAGTTCAAGGAAAGACAAAAAGTGTATACACCGACGCCATTGTGATCGACTCTGAGTCATGTCACTCAGAGTCTCCAACCATTGGTTACGATAGTCACGCGGACCCCAACCAAGTATTCTGAATCTACCAACATGGTTCAGACTAGAAGTTAGTGTCTTCAAGGACTGATGTGTTTATCCTCTGCATCTCTACTTTCATCAAACAAAAAAATATACAATGAATATTCAATTATCATACAACAAAGGATTAAGTATTCAGTAGTTATTGGTATTTTATTTATCAATGAACAAAGCAAATCGGAGTACAGTTTTTTGTTAATCCAAGCATTCCCGAATTTAAACGAAGAACATTTTCTGGAAACAAGATATTGTAATGAAAAAGTGAAATATACACAAAGTATCTATGTATGTCGAATGATGAGGCATCCATATGTCGATTACACTAAAATAATATTGTCAAATAAAATCCATCTTTCAATTAATCACAATGATACATTGCAGTCAGAAAACACTACTCGACTTTGGCTAGAAGAAACATTATTGACTAATGGAAGTAGGCTAGTCACATCGTTCAACATTGACAGTTTCCGAAATAAATAACGTTACACATATTACCCTACATAAATAAGATTGTATGATCAGAAGAGTATTAATTACTGTATTATGTTGAAATAGCTATGCAGAAATAACACGAATTACATATGGAGGACATTAAAATAAAAGGAAACTAACTCAAACTATTGAATACAAATGAGTAGTATAGAAAAAAACGTAACAAAGAGTAAGCCTAGAACAATCGTTATTGAGTGAAAAACATTTGAAATTTTACTATGTAACATACGGCTGTAATTAAACTCAACTCGATTTCATAATCGTGTCAGTCTGCTTAGCGACCAATCAGAATGAAGCGGGAATTATTATATCTGCCATATTTCCTCTCTGTTTTTTTTCACTGTCTCTTTTGTGTAGCTGCATAATTTAATGTTTCAGTGTGCTGAAATTACTCGGTTAATGTAATGCACTAAGTGTTATCGCAAATTGTCATTGGGTAAGATTTATTTTATCGGTTTTCGCTATGGCTGTTTAAGTCAAAGTATTTCTTCAGTCAATCTCGCTTTTTTTATGTTATAAAATGTTAGTTCGTTTTGTTTTGAGTACAATCAAGCTACGGGCAATCATAAACTATGCAATTAACTAACAACTATATCTAATCATTTAATTTTAATTACTTTCGAATTCCCTCGGTTAATTACGGTTATTGTTAATTTCTGTCAAGCCCTTTTATGAACTTATTCAACAGACAATGATATTCGGACAGTAAACATTCGTCTATTGCTTTGTATTATTATTATGATCACTATCATGTCTGTATAAACGTGTACGCTTGACCACATGTAACAGCCTACTCACATATCTCAAGTATAAATGGTGATGGCTTAATTATCGCTCGATGAATCATTCTCTTTCCCATGTATATATGTGATTGAATCCTATTGGTAGACGTTTCCTTGCCTTGTCTTGCCTTGCCTTGTTGCACTGCTATTCCTTATTTCGATTTGACTATCAATTCGCTCACACACATACACACATTATCAGATACAAATCATTCACTGAACATACATATTTCCCACTCTATGGGGAATGTTGTCTATCTGACAAACAGTTTATCAAAACTGACTTAACCGAAACGCTATACTTATGCATGATCAAGTAGTTAATCTTTGTAAAGATTCATAATTTCTCAAACGAAACTATCATTAAACTAGACATAATGATGTTGTGTACAGGGAATAGGAGAATTGAGTTGAAATATATTGTAAGCTAAGCATTTACTGTTGAATTACATGTTTGATATTGAATGAAGTGATTATTGTTACTAATTACATTGATGAGCTGAATAAACGTGAAATCCAGTCAACACACAATACACATACAAAGATGAAATAATCAACACATAATGAACGTATTCACTAAATGTATCATTCCAATGACACTTGCCAACATCGTTTCTCACTCACCACATAAATTACAAAACACAAAACAATATGATTTGAATGAAATATATTCAATTATAAGTTATGAGTTACGACTAATTGCTACACACATACATATAGTTGAGTAATATCAACACAAAATAGTCTTGCATATCAATGGAAGTAAGTAATGAGTATAAATTCAGAGAGGGTTTTGAGTTACAGAACTGAAAACAAAGTTGAAAACAGATATGTGTAATAGATATGGAGGCACCAATTATATTTGCCGAATAAATTCAATCAATTTCAGTATCGTACTATTCTACCATTATGCTGTCCTTGTACATAGCCAAGCCCACTTCCACTACGAACGTTCTTTAAAAGCATGTGTAAAGCTTTCTTTCCGTATATACTCTTGGTATTAAAAAGATTATTTTGAATAATATTTATAGGAACACATTGACTATTTGGGCGTCGTTCATGAACTCTACTTCCACTTGAACCGGTCGATGACAATTTGTGGTTGACATTCGCTATTGATAATGGTGCACGCTGTGTATTTTCACGCATCGTTTGAAAATTGTCTTTAGGAATATTCTGCTTTTCTGGGCACAATTCACGTGATTTCACTTCATATGGTTTCTCATCAGTCCCATTACCACTAAAACAGTCAACACAATAGAAATTCAGTTACATTCACTATGAGAACAACAACAACAAGGTGATTGCAAACAATACCACCTCTTCACACATCATCAACAGCAATCACTTACCCTGGACCATAATTACACACGATTGATAGACCGTACGTTGGACAACTCGCAACTCCACATCCAATGTCTGTGGTCTTGGCCCAAACCATCTGAAACGGAATGTGAACAAGGTATTAATGTGATCGTTCGGTGGGCCAATTGCAAGACATTTCCACAATGTTTCAACATGACCTGTGTGCAAATACACTACTTGTAAATGGTGGAGATAATGTTGTCAACTGAAGGAGATACACGTGGAAATTCCAGTATGTGTTGAATGAGTACGTTTACACTTGGTGCAGTTATGATAACTAGTTGAATTATACAGAACACTCAATCAATCACTCTCTCACTCACTCACCACTCATCCTGTCATGTCAACCAACAGTCGAAATCATTTCACCCATCACAACATCGTCATCTTCCATCTATACACAATGAATTTCTGTTGAGTAGATTGCAATATTGTGTTTGCGTGTTCACACTAGTGATAACACTAGTGTTGACAGATTGATTAGGATTTGAATGCACTCGTCAGTCTTAGTACATGCGGGTCAGAGACAAGTTTCCTATCTGTTGTTTTCCACCGAATCACCTCAACTCTCAACAAAACACACATACTCAAATATGATCAAGTGTTGTGGATACCTGTGTGCATAACTGAAATAATCGGATTACGTGCATTCACATGTGTTTTTCAGTCACTCCTGTAGAAAAGTGAAACCACTTGATTGTTATCACACATTCGTGGTGCATTATAATAGGTGTGAATGTTGAGTGGCAAATGACTGTGGGTATATTGAACTATGTTGAAGTGGATGAGAATGGACTTACTTGTGTGTAATGCAAACATCGCATATAGTTGTTTTGATTGTAGTCGTATAATTTGTGCTCATTGAACCAAGCATCTACTACTCTGAATCAGAAAACAGTGAATTAAATAGAAATGAGCTTACGACTTAATGGTTGGACAGACAACAATATTTTTCCAACACAAAGGAAATCATGTGAATAAGGTATGTCTTGTTGGAACTTGCATTTGTTCGCTAATGTTTGTGCTTGTGCAGCCAGATTGTAATTCCATTTCTACAAATAAGCGTTACGTATATTATTTGAAGAAATTATTGAATAGTGAGTGATTTACCAATGGTGACATATATTTAGCTGGAGGTTGTCCATCAACTTTACAATCAACTAAATCCTGTCTGTATTTTCTATGCAGTTTGGGTATCTCGATGCTGTTTTTATCAAGTTTGCTGTTGTTGTTCACACAGTAAACATAATTGATGAGAATGTATATTATCAGTATGTTAAACATTTACTTTCTTGTAGTATGTTGTTTCAATGATTTTGAATAATGATTTCAATGCCTTTTTATTTGCGTTTGTGTGAATTATCAGAGTTCATCCATTCTTCTATTTGTACATGTTTTGTTTATCTTCATCTTCTAAACTGTATTATCTCAGTTTTCTCATTGGAAGTACTACGTGTCTTTTTAATTGTTATTCTCTTATATGTTTAATAGTACAAATTTGAATAAGTATGAATCTTTTTATTAAGTAGTATAACAGTAGAGTTATTTTGGTCATGTAATAAGTTGCCTGAATGATAGATAATAATAAGATGTGTTTTCTTCACTTATATATACACATGTTCAGCAACTTGTTTTGACAATATTTAAGTAAAAGACTGGCATATTAAAAACTAAACCGTATACATACATCTTGATATTCTAATAATTTTTAAGATTGATTCTTTCAGCTTTTTAGGGGTTGTGGAGATTATTTAGTTTATGATTGAAATCATGAGTCAATTGGAGCTAGACCAACATGGAAAACCTGAAAGAACTGAACGGCCGTTTCATCCTAGTATGGAACTTTTCAGCAGTGCGCATCCACGATCCTGCACCCCGCGAGATTCGAACCCAGGACCTATCAGTCTCTTGTGGATTGGTTGAGGTTAGACACAAACACCATTGGATGCCGGCTCGGTGGTCTAGTTGGTTAAGCACCTGCTGAGGGACTGATAGTTGTTGAGTTGAGATCTCGCGGGGTGCAGGATCGTGGAAGCACACTGTTGAGGAGTCCCATACTAGAACGAAACGGCTGTCCAGTGCTTCCAGGTTTTCCATGGTGATCTAGCTTCAATTGACTCATGATTTCAGTTAATTCTTTCGTTGAATTAACGTTCAATTAAATGTATTTACCCGGGTTTAAAAAGAGTACACTTTTAAACATATTACTAGTTTGAATAGCTATTTATACTAAATATATAAGTTAGCCACTGATTTGTTAAGGTTTTATATTTTCTCTATGTTGATAATAACAGCTTTAGACGAACAATCTCTTTTATTAAATGGATATTTTGAACAAATTGCTAATCAATATCTGTCTATCGAATTATAATGTTTTTCATCAGTCTAAATGATTGAACATCTAGTACACATAATGTTTTGTTTTTATTTGGTTCAAGATAGTCATCAGGAAATTCTTCTTCATTTACGTTTCACGCTATTTGACACTCGTGTGCAAGAGATCAGTTCAATATTAATGAAACGGGTATAACTTGAGTCATTTACACATGGGTCCAATCTAAGAATAACATTGGTTACTACTCAGTGATCAATCGATTATAACTATACTAATAATATTTTTGTAAGCAATCATGGGGAGTATCTAGTAGTGAAATCCAGGAAGCGCGTTCCGTCCTACCTGGGACTCGTCAGTTGGATATATCTGCATCTGAGTTGATGTTCACTCTGAGACTCGAACCCAGTACCGTTCGCTTCAAACGCCATCACGTTATCCACTCAGCTACTGAATCCTGATAGCCACTTGTTTGTGCAATGGGGTGAATTTAACTTCACTTGATATTGTTTTGGCTTGTATCTTCCGATTGAGGTTTAAGACTTCAATTAATCAGTCTATTATTGGCATATGTGCATCATTGCTTACAGAAAGCTTGTGAATTAAGGCAATATCGAGGCATACACACATTATGCACATATGCCAATAACAGACTGACCGATTGCAGTGTTAAACCTCAATGGGAAGATACAAGCCAAAACAATATCAAGTGAATTTATACTAACAATACATACAAAATAAAATTTAAAATCTTATGGGAACATTGCAAAAGTATATTCCTTTGTTCATATTTTAGATTAGATACAATTACTTGTTCTTCACAATTCTCTCAATAGATTACCAATACGTTCACATGCATGGTTTTCTCTCATTACTGTGAGAGTTTCATTGAGTATGTGTTGTTATGGTCATCAAAATATGCGGGAATATAAAGTACGTTTATTTTTTGTAAAAATAAATCTTGTTGATATTTCACTTATTTTTTTAGGTGCTAATCACGGGGTGTGACTTCGAAGTTATCTGTTTCCGTCAAACTTCAGTAGGCCCTTCAATCATTCGACAATGTTCATCTACGTTGGTGATCTACAACTTCTATTTACCTCATATTAGACACAATTTAATAATGTTACCACTACCAACTAGTTGGGTATCCGATGCTTGACAATCAGGAATTGTCAACTTGAAACAGTTCAAACTCAACATTTTATATCAAAACTATGGTACTGGGTAATTAAAAGCATTACCTACATTTGGATTCGATGAAATTTTACTCATTTCTCTGGTAACAATGGTTCGGTCGTATACATGTTAAAATCAGTATTTAGTAAATTAATCACAGCTACCGTTGAAATTGGCAATGTATCCCATGCGGTCAAAGTCATTACTCATGGTATATAAAAAGTAGTCTTGCAATTGTATGTAAAACACCAATGAAACACATGAATGGTTCACTGCCGAAACTTTTCGGTTCTGCTGTCGCATACTTGAAATCAGAATAGTTATAATAAAATATTTATCGTGTCACTCCAGTTTTGATTATTGATCTTAAATGCACTGGTGTTAATAACAACTCTGACTGATACAATACAAAGCATGCCAATAACTTGTAGTAACTGGCCCTATGTCGAGCCCACGTAGGTTATTCTAGTCTCTGTACAGACCAGTCTATTCATTCTTCCCGAGTCACATTTTGACCTTGTTAATTATTCGCCTCACCTCGCCCCGCTTCGCTCCCTTCCTCTGCCTAACTTTGCTTTGTCTCACATCACCTCGATTCCATTTGGCTATAAATATTGATTAACGCTTAATTTAAGTGAGTTGGCTAACATGCCATCTCCAATCCGACTTGCTTCGCACTCACCTCTTCGTTTCGTTTCGCTGATTGTCTGCTCCGTCCAACGTTTGTATAAGATATACGTATTCAAACATCTGTTCTCGCATTTGAATTTCTTTAATTTAGTTATTCACTGAGGCGAGTTAAGTCGATAATTATATACAAGGATTGACCATATGCATAAATCGATAACGATAATCACATGATTAAATTGGAGTCAGATATTCCAGGGCCACTAAGATCTTCCGTGATGTAAGTGCGACCATTGTCAGGATTTACTACCAAAATGGACGACTTCAATAATGAAACCAATCACTGAATGTTTGGAGATATTTTCTGGTAGTGATGTACTCCAGGAAGAGAGCTATTTAAAAAGCTACCGAGCATTTCCTACTGACATGACCTACCATATATCGTAGTAACATAAACGAGTGCCTGTTCAATTTTCAAGATTCCAAGGAGTTCTATATAAGTCAATATTAAAAAGTCTGTTTGTCCACCATTGCGTAATGCTCCGTAAATAGGTTCAGCTGAGCAGGTTTTAAATATGAAGCGAAAAGTTGCTCTGTTGTCTTAAAATTTCCTTCTTAACTAAATAAATAGGGTTGATTGAATTCAATAGAAAAGTAAGATAATAATCTCAAATTTCATATCATCATTATTTTAACTTGGGTACTGAGAACATGCAGTTTGCATCGTGAACACTAGCAGTGAAGACAAGTCAGCTATTGTGAACAATTTTGACCCATACAATCTTTCATTATATTCATTAGAGCAAAAATTATCAGATGTAGAACGACGTCTGCCACATTAACTGTGCCTATAAAAAATTTAACTGAAGATAGGCTTCAATAAAAAATTGACAGTTTAATTACAGATTTCTGAACGAGATTCTCAGCAATCAATCCAATCAATCCTTTACACCTCCAATCCGACCTTGATGTAGGGGACATGATATTAAGACGATGAATATGTCTAAGTTATATATTGAAAAACGCTACTAATGAAGCTCATTTTAAATATTTGCAATCTGGACCATTTTTATGTCATTTAAATAGCGTGAATTTGCCAACCGAATATATCTATATTAGGTGGAATGTATTGAAGACTACTTTAATAAAATGTTACACAACAAGTGAGAACTTATAAACATAAGACAAATCATGTGTGAAATAGGAGTAATAAAGAACCAGTTAAGTGCAACTTGATTATCGCTGATACAGTTCACAAGTACATCAATGAACCTTTAGCTACTGGTGACCAATGGCTTGCAAAGTTGAAAGATGTAATGAAACACCTAGTTATGAGTAATCGTTGGAGAATTTATACAATCCAAAGATTTGACTAAGACTTGTGGTGGACTAAAATGTATTTTAACCAAAAATTAGCAATAAAGTTATTACGTCCAAAAGTTAATGTAACACTAATAATTTATAAATTAGTAACACAAAATAAAAGTTCAGGGACGTTACTTGAATCAGCTAGTTGTTGCGTGTTCCGTTGAGTTTTGGTCCCAAAAATCCACAATTATAAATGAGTAATAACTCCGATGAGATAAATGTGACTCCAGTAAGTTTCTTTGACGTAGGATGTAATAGAAATGGCACAACAGTCTAAAATGTGTATAATATTCGATTTAGAATGCAATTGGCTCGATAACGAGTGAGAATAGAACAAGGAGTGTGTGTGTAGTAGTGTATTTGTGAAC